CCGAGTGGTTAAGTTCTCGCACTCTGCTGCAGGCGGCCCAGTGTTTCATTGGTTCGAATCCTGGGCACGGACATGGCACTGCTCATCAAACCACGCTGAGGCAGCGTCCCACATGAAGAATATACAACTATGCACCTGGGGAGCTTTGGGAGAAAAAGGAAAAAAACAAAAACAAAGAGCAAAAGTTGAGATTTAAAAACTAAAAAAGAAGAAGTTATCTATCCATTCTCTGCACAAGTTTAATTTTTCCCTTGTTCTTCTGCACATCTTCTCTGTTGCTGGTTGGAAATCATTAAAACAGCCTGGAAGTCTGACTTGGAGGCGTCAGTGTTAGAAGGAGTCCGTGGGGATTTTGTGAGCCTCTGTATATAATGTACAAGCTAATGAGTTGTAGGGAGTTGGAGAGACACACAGTGAGGGTGATTTACAACATCCTATATAATTTAGACTACAGGAAGTGGAGGTAGAAGAGACCTTAGAGGTTAAAGAGATCAGTCTCCTACTCAGTGATGTAATCCCTTTGACAATAACCTTGATAGATGGTTATTTAACATCTGCTTAAACATTTTCAATGATTCCCAATGATGAGGAGCTCATTGCTTATCTAGGCAGGTCATTTTATTTATTCCCAACTCGGATTATCAGAAAGCTTTTCTTTAGAGTGATTTGAGGTCTGCCTTCTTGCAACTACTTCCCAGGAACTCAATTCTCCTCAGGAGCAATATAGAATAAGACCTAGAAAACTATTGGGCCATTTTCTAGTATGGTATGAGAGTTAGCATGTCATTCCTTCTCTTTTCCAGGCTAAATATCTCAATTATTTCTACCATCCTCTAACCATTCTGGTCTCCTTCCTCTAGATAGTTGATTTTATCAATGTCCGAATAGAACAGAATACTATAAATGTGGTCTGATCGGTTTAGGTTCCAATGGGTCTATAACTTCATTTGATTTGAATTTAATTCTTCTGATATTGCAGCCCAAGCTGGGGTTTTTTTTGGTAATTAAGTCAAACTTTTGGCATATATTGAGCTGTGTTCACCAAAAAGTATCATATCTTACTATAAAAATTTATATAGTTTTAAAAAATTAACATACAGTAAAATTAGCACTTTTTAGTGTACAGTCCTACGCGTCTCAACACATGTATAGATTTGTGTAACCACCACCACAATCGGGGTACAGAACAGGTCGTCACCCCTGCAAAGTTCCCTCCTATTACACCTTTGTAATCACACATTCCTCTGACTCCTAAACTGTGGAAATTACTAGTCTGTTTTCCATCACTATAGTGTTGTCTTTTCAAGAACGTTGTATAAGTGGAATCATTCAGTATATAACTTTTTCGAGACTGGCTTTTTCACTCAGCATAGTGCCTTTGTGATTCATTCAAGCTGTTGCATGTATTAATAGTTAATTCCTGGGGCCGGCCCCGTGGCCATGTGGTTAAGTTGGTGTGATCTGCTGTGGTGGCCTGGGGTTGCTGGTTTGGATCCTAGGTGCAGACCTACACACTACTCATCAAGTCATGCTGTGGCAGCGTCCCACATAGAAGAACTAGAATGACTTAAAAATTATGTACTGGGACTTTGGGGAGGGAAAAAAAAAAAGAGGAAGATTGGCAACAGATGTTAGTTCAGGGCCAATCTTCCTTACCAAAAAAAAAAAAGGTAATTACTTTTTATTGCTGAGAAGTATTCCATTGTATGGATGTCCCATAGTTTGTTTATCCATTCACCAGTTTAAGAGCATTTGGTTGCTTCAGTTTTTGGCAATTTTGCTAGAGCTACTGTAACCAGTCATGTACCAGTTTTTGTGTGAACATAGTCTTCGTTTCTCCTAAGTACTTAGGATGGAATTGTTGAGATGCATCTAACTTTGTAAAAAACTTCCAAATGGCTTTCCAGAGTAGCTGTACCATTTTGCATTTGCACCATCAACACTTGAGAGTTATAGTTGTTCTGCATCCTTGTTGGCAGCTGGTATTGTCAATATTTTTTATTTTAGCCATTCTAATAGGTATTTAGTGATATTTCATCCTGGTTTTAATGTTTACGTTTTCCTAATGGCTAACGATGTTGGACCACACTAATTTGCCTTCCATATATCCTCTTTGTTGAAATGTCTGCTTGAGTTTTTTTTCTCATTTTTTCATTAAATAGTTTTCTTATTAATGAGTTTTGAGAATTAAAAAAAATATATTCTGGATACAAGTCTTTTATCAGACATGTGATTTGCAAATAATTTCTCCCAGTCGGTAGCTTGTCTTTTAGTCTCTTAACAGTGAATATCTTTTATAGAGTAAAAGTTTTACTGGGATGAAGTCCAATTTATCAATTTTTTCTTTTGTTGATTGTGTTTTTGGTGTTATGTCCAAGAACTTTGCTTAACCCCAGGCCATAAATCTCTTTTTGTATTTCTCCTTCTAAACATTGTATAGTTTTATGTTTTTCATTTACAGCTATAACCTGTTTTGAGGTAATTTTTTTTTTTAAAGATTTTATTTTTTTCCTTTTTCTCCCCAAAGCCCCGTGGTACATAGTTGTATATTCTTTGTTGTGGGTCCTTCTAGTTGTGGCACGTGGGACGCTGCCTCAGCGTGGTTTGATGAGCAGTGCCATGTCCGCGCCCAGGATTCGAACCAACGAAACACTGGGCCGCCTGCAGCGGAGCGAGCGAACTCAACCACTCGGCCACGGGGCAGCCCCTTGAGGTAATTTTTGTATATGGTTCAGGATATGGGTGAAATGCATTTTTTTTGCAAATGTAACCCAATTGGTCCAACACCATTTGTAGAAAAAACTATCCTTTCTCCATTGAAATGCCTTTGCATCTTTGTCAAAATTAAGATGTGATTTTAATTCTGGACTCTTTTTTTTTTTTAAAGATTGGCACCTGAGCTAACAACTGTTGCCGATCTTGTTTTTTTTTTTTTTTTGCTTTTTATCCTCAAATCCCCCCAGTACACAGTTGCATATTTTAGTTGTGGGTCCTTCCAGTTGTGGCATGTGGGACGCCTCCTCAGCATGGCCTGATGAGCAGTGCCATGTCCACGCCCAGGATCTGAACCGGTGAAACCCTGAGCCGTGAAGTGGAGCATGAGAACTTAACCACTCGGCCATGGGGTCGGCCCCTGTATGTTATATTTAAATTTTTGCTCAGTTCAAAATATTTTCTGATTTCCCTTGAGACTTCCTCTTTGATTCATGGATTATTTAGAAGTGTATTGTTTAATTTCCATGTGTTTGAAACTTTTTTTTCTTGCTGTTACTGATTTTTAGTTTAATTCCTTTGTGGTCAGAGAACTGTGTATGATTTCAATTCTTTTACATTTGGTGTGGTTTATTTTATAACCCAGTATATGCACTTTCTTAATGAATATTCCATGTGCATGTGAAAAGCATGTATTATATCGTTGAGTGGAATGTTCTATAAATGTCAATTAGATCCAGTTCTTTGATGGTGTTGTTCAGTTCCATATCCTTGCTGATTTTCTGTCTACTTATTCTATTGATTACTGAAAGAGGTGAGTTGAAATTTCCAACTGTAACTGTGGATTTTTTCATTTCTCCTTCAGTTTTATCAGTTTTTGCTGCATAAATTTTAAAACTTTTTTGTTAGGTATATACTCATTTAGGATTGTTACATGTTCTTGGAGATCCGTTTTTCTTTATGAGAGATCTCTTTCTTTTTTTAAGGAAGATTAGCCCTGAGCTAACATCTGCTGCCAATCCTCCTCTTTTTTGCTGAGGAAGACTGGCCCTGACCTAATATCCGTGCCCATCTTCCTCTATGTTATATGTGGGATGCCTACCACAGCATAGCTTGCCAAGCGGTGCCATGTCCGCACCTGGGATCCGAAATGGCGAACCCCAGGCCGCCAAAGAGGAACATGCGCACTTAACCACTGCACCACCGGGCCTGCCCCGGAAGGCCCCTTTTTTTCCTGATGGTCATCTTTGCTCTGAATTCTACTTTGCTATTAGGTAGCCACTCTTACTTTTTTTGTGTGTGTGTGTGTTAGTGCTTTCATGGTCTATCTTTATCCATCCTTTTACTGTTAACCTACATATGTCTGATATTTGAAATGAGTGTCTTGTAGACAGATTACATATAGTTGAATCTTGGTTTTCATCCATTCTAACAGAAAGGAAGAACATTACATAAAGAAAAGGAGTCAATTCACCAAGAACACATAACAATCTTAAACGTGTACATGCCTAACAACAAAGCTTTAAAATACATGAAGTAAAAACGGACAAAATTGGAAGGAGCAATAGACAAATTCACAACTATAGGTGGAGACTTCAATCCCTCCCTTTCAGTAATCAATAGAACAAGTAGACATATCATTAACTTTGAGTACCCAGTTGGATGCAGGTTGTAATTCCTCACTAACCCACTGTGGGTTGTGATTCCAATGTCAGTTCAATTCGTAAAGTCTTAGTCGTGCTATTTGGATCTGTCTCGTGTCTGTGTCACCCAAGGGCCAGCTGAGGAGCTGAGCAGTAGTCTATCCATATTTCAATTTTCAGTCTATGGTATGCTGTTCAGTGTCAGATCATGCATGTGCCACTCAAGGATGAGCCCAGACGTCCATCAATTACTTTACTGGGTTGCTTCTCCTAGCTCCTCTCTCTCTGTGATCGCTACAGAATTTCCCAGTTCCCTGGAGCTCCCCTTTCTGATCTTCCAGCCAAAAAGTTGGGTCTTTAGTTTCACACTTCCTATGATTGCATGTGTGTCCAGGATCAAGGGGCAGGAGGAGAGAGAGGGAAAAAAACAATGGGAGTTTGCCTTACTTTGGGGGAACACACTTCCTCTGATAGGAGGGAAACGTTTGATACCTCATAGTTTTAGGCACCTGCCACCTCTGCTGCCACCACTGTCATTGCTGCCACTGTTGCCATGGGATTGTCTGGGTTCTGGGGCATGACAGAACAGTGAACAAAGGAAAGTGGTGAATTTCTTTTTTCTTGCTGAGTGTTAGGAATCTCCTTTTTACTCCTTGAGCCAGACCTGGAGGACTTCTTCTGGAGCACTCTCTTTCCACTTCTGAGTGCTGTTTCTCAGTTTCAGGCTGCCTGGAGTCCAAGCCAGAGATACGAGGGAATAGAAGGGGAAACTCAGTGCTGGTTTGGTGATACTTCCAATTCTGATCTTCTTCCCAAATCTTCCTGCTATCTCTTCCTTCTCAGTGTTCTCAAATAAGCGCTCCATGTGTTCTGTCTAGATTTTATAGCTGTGTGGCTCAGGTCTTGATGACTGTCATATCTTTATAAAAAGAAATTATTTTATGCTTGGAACCCTCCCATCCTTCATTTGTACACTTTTTGAATGTACATTTAGTGATATTAAATTTTGTCATATTAGTATTGACCTATGTTCCTTTCATTGTATTTCATCTATTCATTGTTTTAATGTGTATAATTGCAATAACTGTTAATCTTTTTTTTTAATATGTCTTCAACCAAGTCATTTGATTAAAATATTGACTAGGTTAAGACTAAGAAAAGAACCTTGTAAGAATGTTATAAAAGACCTGTCAGTTTATTCATTCATTCATCACATTTTATTAAGTGCCTACTATATGCCAGGTACTTTCTAATGCTCTGGAAATATGGAGGCAAATAAAATAAAATCTGTTGACAGAGGTCCGGAAAACAATGTGCTTTGGGTATTGCTCTTCAATCATCAGTGAATATGCCTAACTTTACTAAATCAACACAAATTTTTTGAGCCTGGGTCAGGCGCTGTGATGCATAGAGAAGATATAACAATGAACAAGTCAATGACAATTCCTGTCATCATAAGGTTGTCAGTCTTATCTGTGCTATCATATTGCCTTGGTTTCTCCATTTTGCCTACCAGGCTATCATGAAAGACTTTGTCACATGACTTTTTGAAATCCCTAACTTAGGGCTGGCCCCGTGGCCAAGTGGTTAAGTTCGCGTGCTCTGCTTTGGTGGCCCAGGGTTTCACCGGTTTGAATCCTGGGCACAGGCATGGCACTGCTCATCAGACCACGCTGAGGTGGTGTCCCACATGCCACAACTAGAAGGACTCACAACTAAAATATACAACCATGTACTGGGGGGCTTTGGGGAGAAAAAGGAAAAATAAAATCTTAAAAAAAAAAAGAAATCCCTAACTTACATCAGTGATGTATCAATGTAGACATCCTATCAGAAACGAAGAAGAGGTTCATTTGTGAAACTTGCTCTGAGTTAATCCAGGTTCTTTTCTAAGGACTAACCAACTGTATGTTTAAGGCACTTTATATTTTCTAGAGCTTGATATCAGCTAATCAACAGAATCTAGAATCCAGTTTTTCCCTTTCCAAAAATCAAGCTATTTGTTTATCTTTAATCTTAACTATTCTCTACCAATTTAAACTTCATGCAACCCGTTTTCCCTCTTGATAGACTGCCCCCTCTATGTTCTATTTTCTATGTCTTCTCTGTTATTAGACTTTAGCTCCTCGTTTTCCTCTGGTTATATTCTCAGAGAACTCACCTCTCTTAGAAGCTTTTCTGGAAGGAGGTAGTGGGTGACCAAAGTCAGAGCAATTGGTCTTTGGAGAGAGTGGAGGAAAGAGAGAACCAGAGAGATGACCACTCCTGTTGTTATTGTCTGTGCTTAGGTCTGACTTTAAATGTAGATATTTGGTATTAGACTGATATTCATTAGTAGTATACACACTCTTGGTTTGAATGTGTTTCAAGGCTAGGAAAGTGGATGCATATGGAAAGGATTTATTTCAGGACACAGAATGTTTGAACAGAAATTATTTATATTTTCAAAATATCATAGTAACCATTCCTATTATGGGCACTTTCTCAGTGCCCCTGAAATCCAGATGAAACTCTAAATGTGGAAAAAGTAATTACTGTTAAAGCCAAAAGCTCTTCTTTTCTCTCTTGTAGTGATAGCGTGATAATCTCTATACAATGAGAGTTGATTAATACCTTCTCTTATTGGGTTACAATGCCAGTAACTTCAAAAGGTTCTGGTAAATCATGTGATAGCCATCTTTCCATGACAGATATAACTGTTACCTTACTACAAGATACTTTAAAACAACAGTAATAAGAACAATAGCAGCAGCAACAAAACCCAGTCTCTTGACAAATCCTGAGTCCACATCGAAGCTGTGCAAACTCAATACTTCCAGATAATTGCCTTACACTGTCCTCCCTTTCTCTCTCGTTTCACAATACAGGACTTTCCCACTAAAATCAATCACTCTTTGTCTCAGCTCATGTTTTCCTATGTACAGGAGTTAGAATGGTCCTGGACAGTTAATTAGCCATAAATCCATCTCTGAAACACAGAACACATCAGCTGCTTTTGTAAACCCCCGATGTTCCATTTTGCTCCAGTGCCTTTTTTATAAACCTAATTGTGTTAATGCACTGGCATATTTATTGTTCACCTTTTCACCCTTTATGCTGATCCCTGGCTGCCCATGGGGTCCTTTCAATCTATCAAAACCACAATCCCCCTGTGTAAGGAAGGTCACATTTACTCTAACAATAGGGACCCACAGCCATGTGTTGCCTCAGTGTGGGTCACCAAGGGGCACATCAAAGCAAAGGCTGTGACTTGCATGGATCCCTCTTGAGTTTTTACTTTCCCAGTTTCAGACACAGAGGTATAGGAACGATTTTTTTTTTAAAATCTTGATTGCCGCCTCACACTTATTATAAGTTCTTCCTTTCTTTTTTTGAGGAAGATTAGCCCTGAGTTAACATCTGCTGCCAATCCTCCTCTTTTTGCTGAGGAAGACTGGCCCTGAGCTAACACCCGTGGTCATCTTCCTCTATTGTATATATGGGACGCCTGCCACAGCATGGCTTGCCAAGCAGTACGTAGGTCTGCACCCGGGATCCAAACCAGCGAAGCCTGGGCCTCCGAAGTGGAACTTGCCAATTAACAGCTGCGCCACTGGACTGGCCCCTCATTATAAGTTCTGAGAGGGGAAAATAGAAAGTTTTTATTAAAAAGAAATACCTCTTTTCTCCACTCAGGCTTCGAGCAGAATTTTTCTGAACATGATCTGGGACAAGAAAAGAGCAGAGTGAGAGAGTGGGCAGCTGTGACAATTCAGTGTCGAGCTCCCTTGACAGCAGGATGATATGTGGAGGATGTGAATTTTGCCACATTAGAGTAGTTTCTTTGTTTATCCTTCCTTCCTTCCGTCCATCCATCCATCATCCATCCATCCATCCATCCATGCATCCCTTACTTTGTAGAGATGTTAGAAGCAGAGACCATAAACTCAAATGCCTCCAGGGTATGAAAGAGGTTTAAATTATAAAAGATGAGAATTTGGGTGTACTGGAGAACACAGGCCCCATCTTAAAGAGTTGACCGCCACTCAGCCTCAGCATCTTCTAAGCAGGAGTACATGTCCAGTGCGAATTGAATTCAGTCCAATGTGAACTGAATTTTCAAGAGAAGCAGGAAACCCAGCTTTTTATGAGAAATCTCTCAATTTTTAAATGTTGACAACTATCTGAATGTTTTAAAATCACTGTGTAGAATGGATCTGTAGTCTGAATTTGACCAGCGCTTCAGGGCATCCAAACCTCCATTGTCCTCCTGAAGTTTAGCCTGGAGCTGGGGAGGTCAGAAGTGATGACGTTACAATGTAGTGGGTGGTGAGGGCCAAATGGTAGGGAAAATAATGATGGTTTCAGGGAGAGAGGTTAAACTCAGCTAGTTAATCAAGGCTTCTTGGAAAAGCTAAGATTTGACCTAAGCCTTGAAGAATAGGTCTTGAAGACCTTGAAGAATTTTTATAGATGGTGATGGAGAGAGAATTAGAAACTGAGGAGAAGGCATATATAAAAACATGGAAATGGGCTATCTTAGGGTGAGTGTAGAGAGCTGTGTGTAATCAAATTGGGAGTTTGTGTAAATCTGGAAAGAGAGATTGGAACTAGATATAAAGGCCTCTAAAACCAGGTTCGCAAGTTAAATTTCATTAATATTCAATTGACAGTGGGGAGGCATTGAAGGATTTCAGAGAAGTGACAAGGAGAAAATGTTTCAGGAAAGTTATTTGATATTTGTGTGCAGGATAATGAGAAATGAGAGAGATTATAAGCAGAAAACTAGGGACAATTACAACAATCTAGGCATAAACTTGGAAGAAGCAGTGGTAAAAGAAGAGAAGAGATGGATGGGGGAAAACCCTGAGACGAAAGCGTTTGCAAGACTAATTGGTGTCTAAAATATGCCAAATCTACATTTGAGATGTCACTACCTCCTCTGGGTTTCTGGTCCTCTTCTAGCCAAGGCAGGATATGTGATAAGGATTCTATGGAGTGATGGGAGTAGAATGTGGGCACCAAGTAGGGTAGTTGAGTAGTTACTAATTCATCTGCTACTGGGGTCTTTCCTGGGCCTGGTGGGAGTCTTGTAGGAGTCCAGGATTGGTGCGCAAGTGCCAGGTAGGGTATAGGAGGAATCTGATGGAAAGTTGGGTGCCCCTTTCCAACCAGCAGGGACCACAGATCACAGGAGCCACGATCACAGGTTGGAGAACACTGGGACACAAAGGTTTACAGGTTTCTGTCCTTGCATTCTTGCATGGGTGAGCCAGAGGTGAATCGTGAAAGTACTCTATGTACTGTTTTACTGTTTCTTTTGAGGGCTTGATTAGTCAGTCAGATTTTAATGGCAAATGCCAAAGTCAAAATGCACTTTGATCAGGGAGGGTATTGAATAGAATGTTCCAGAAACAGGAGACAAATTTATATACATGGTCTAGTATTATCTTGCTCAAAAAACTGCCCCTATTTTTTTTCTACGATTTTTCTTGTCTTTTCTCTCTCCAGTTATTTTTTAAAAAATTTTAAGTTGAGACTTAGTCCACATCCCATAAAATTCACCCTTTAAAAGTATACAGTTTAGTGACTTTTGGTATATTCACAGAGTTATGCAATGATCACCACTAATTCCCAAATGTTTTCAGGATCCCAATGGCTGGATCATAAGGTAACTCTGTGTCTAACTTATTGAGGAATTGCCAAACTGTTTTCTATAGCAGCTGCACTATTTTACATTCCCACCAGCAATACATGATGATTTCGATTTCTCCACATCCTCACCAATGCTTGTTCCTGTCCTTTT